GAAGGCTATGTTAACCAGTTTGATGAAAATATTTCAAATTGTATATAAAACCAGCACATTGTATCCCATGATTGCATTAATGTACACAGCTATGATTGAATAAATAAAATAAAATAAAATAAAAACAAAGTATACAAAGTTACACAGGAGGAATAAACTAGTAACCTATTGTACCATAGGGCAACCAGGCCAGGCATGCTGGCTCATGCCTATAACCCTAGCAACGGAGAGGCTGAAATCAGGACTTCAAGACCAGCCTGAGCAAGAGTAAGACACCATCTCTACGAATAATAAGCCAGGCATTGTGGTGGGTACCTGTAGTCTCAGCTACTTGGGAGACTGAGGCAGGAGGATCACTTGCACCCAGGAGTTTGAGGTTGCTGTGAGCTATGACATCACCACACTCTACCCTGGGGTGACAGAGACTGTCTCATGTATTTCGAACTTGCTAGGGGTAAATTTTACATACTCTCAGCACAAAGAAATAAGTATATCAGGCAATGGATATATGTAATCATTCCACAGACATACACATATCTAATCACTATGCCCCAAAGTGACAAAAATAAAGCCTTAAAGTAAAATCGAGAGAAAACATGACTAAAAGGATGCTGCCAGTCCACATCTGGGTTTGCATCTGCTTCACCCTGCCTTGTCCAGACTCATTTCTCAATGCCATTCCTGTAACACTGGTCATGAGTTCATCGTTGCTTTACCAATATGCTCTTACTCGCCTATTTGAAAAAGTGCTGACATATTTCCCTGTTTCCCTTCCAGGTATCCCCAACATATGCCTCCATTTCCTACTGGCTGAAATTCAAATATGCCCCACAGCAGATGTTTGCAAACTTTTAATCTCTTGGTAAAATTTCCTGAAAACAAGTTGATAGAATTTTCCCACTAGACTAGTTTAAAATAGGACCTGTTTCATTTCTTTGCACTCTGAGCACCCAGTGGTAGCCTGGCCAGGCATTCAAATATTGCTCCCATGTTAAATATGCCAAGAAGCCTGGCCAGGCTTGTGGGGGGTGGGAGTCTCTCATGCAAGATCAGCTTCTACTTACACCACTTTCTGCAGATGACAGGAGAACCGGGTTATATGATCACAAAGAATCCTCACGGAGGAGTCACTCAGGAAGCTTTGCGTCATGTCCAGAACTTTCAGATTCTTGTTTGAGCTGACTACAGAGCAAAAGTCCATCCAGACACAGAGAGAGCGATGATCACACCGAGACCAACTGGGAAGAATCAAATAAGAACATTTATTGTGGCCAGGCACGGTGG